TATATATATATATATATATATATATATATATAATTCCTGTCCAAATAAACCACATGAGAATTCAGATTTGTGGGTTCCCTAGATAAAATGGCATCTAGCATGGATGCATCTTCCTCATGTTTTATGATCAGATCCTGCTTTTTTTATCATCAGTTCTGCTTTTTATTCTTGGCATTACCTGTGGCTGTATACTCAGCACATTTGGTGGTAGTTCCGGTTTAAGATTGATAAGGGAAAAAAAGGATGTGAGTCGCCCCCAAAAGAAAGCTTCATGACTAGCTCACTAAAAGGTTCCTACTCTGTAAGATGAGTATCAATCTACTAGTCGGTCATTCAATGGAAACTTGTCTGCTATCACAAACCTAGTAACTGGCAGGGACAAGAATCATATTCTGTGCCAACTTGGGCCAGTGAAGCAACTTCCTCCACAACTAGACTGAAGAACAAAAGGACAGCAACTTGTCTGTTCCCCTTGCCCCAATTCCCCAGCGCTGTTCCCATCCCCCCAACTCCCCAATAAAAATCTTTTTAAAAAAAAAGAATCATATTCTGGGCTCTTTACTGGCAAAGCTGATGCTCTTTCTACCAAATCACTCTCTTGTTTAATTAGTATAACCACAGTGGATGCAAAGAAAAACAGGAAATGAAAAAGAAAACACCTTGGGTAGAGAGCCTAGCTCAGGTGCCTGGCAACACACAGGAAATAGTAATCAACTATAAAATTTTATAGCATTAATTGTTAAATGAAACCTGAGAGATGAATAGGCAATAGGCACTGTGGGCTAGATGATACCGTGAGGGAGCATCTCAGAGGTGGATTTTCTTTCAGATAAGTAACTGGAATCACATGACTGCGATTCATCATGGCCAGGCTAGAAAATTTGAACTTTATTCAGAGAGCGATAGAGATCCACAAATGAATCTTAGGGAGGGATGTTTGGCAGTCCAGGATCTGTGGGAATTGTGCATCTGGGAGAGGGTAAGTTGGAGGTGAGCACAAGCCCAGGACTGCTCTATGCTGGGACCAAGTCACTAGTTGGTATCCACATCCATAATTCGGAAATTCCCCCGGCAAATCCATTTCTACACAAAAATAAAACAGACATCCAGATGCCAAAGAAGAAAGGGCTTCTCTGTCGAGCTGCCAACATTTGGGGTGTTCCTGAGAGTATCATTCACACCCCACATTCACCGGGTATGGCTGTCATGGGGCCGATGTGAAAGAAACACATCCCCAACTTGCCCCTTTCTGAGGAGTCATGCAATTGTTGGAATCCCCAAACCAGAGTCAGATTATCTCTGGAGGTACCAAACCAGAAGTCCTGGTGCCTGAACCCAGAACTGGAAGTCCACAGGGCCAGGTTCCTGAGACCTAAAGATGGCTAGAACATTGGTAAGACCTGGGATTCTTCCTACATTGGAATCTGTCAACCTAGAGATTCAAGGATCCAGAGAGCAGGACTTTGGTACACCTAGGTCAGGATTCCTGGCATCTGAGAATCCCTGATAGCCAGCCTGTGGTCCTACATCTAGCTGATTTGGGGAATCGAGCAATAGGAGTAAAAAAAATGTAAATTTGAAGTGGTCAGGTAACCAAGGGACTCTGAGATTAAGAGGCAAAGCCATGGGCAGACTGACGTTCAACCCACCATTCTTTCATGGTGTCTTCCTGAGTATCCAACTGTAGGAAACACAGGACTCCAAATCGAGGGTTGTTCCCCCAGCCTGGAACTGCAGAGAGGGGTATAAAATCCCTGTGAACACACTTGCTGCTGGCAGTCCTCTCACCTCGACTCCCCTCTGCCACCCACTCCTGGGAACCAGCACCAAGGTCTCATGCTTCATCTAATGAAGATGGCTTTTAGATGACTTCATCTAATCTAATAACATGGATCAACCAATCGCTTTTCCTGATCAGCAAAGTTTTGTACTTTCGTGGCAAAAAAAAAAAAGGAATAAACATTACCTAAAATCCTGCTTACCTTGACTACCACCTTGTGCCTGCCTTTCCAGTATGCTCACCTTACCCTCTAGTTCATATTTCAGAAATACCCCTCTTGGGACGAAGTTCCCTTTGAAGGTCTGACAGGTGGATCAGTGTTCTAAGGTAATCTTTGATCCTCACATATGCTCGCTCCTTTTGTCCTGTCCCAAAGTCTAAGAGTACAGCCTCAGGCTAACCCAGAAGCTTCAGAACTGCCCATTATTAAATTCCCCATGAATGCCAGGCACTGTGCTCTCTTCACCGAGTAGACAGGTATGGGGTGGTGAATTTCAGAGGTAGCAACTTTGACTGTGAGGGGGAGAGGAAGCAGCCCACAAGAACCTGCAGCCTAATGGGCTGAGACCATTCATACTCCACCTGGGAGCATTTGCCCCAATATGAATTCATATAGACTTAACAACTACAGTAACACCTTGGTTTGCGAGCATAATTTGTTCTGGAAACAAACTACTCGTATTGCAAGACATTGCTCGTTTACCATGTTAAAATGTATTAGAAATGTTTGCTCATCTTGTGGAACACTTGCAAACCACGTTTTTCGCAATCCAAGGTTTTACGGTATATTGAAAGCTTTTCTGCCCACACAGTGCTAGGCTTAAAGGAAGTCACACTGAACAGGCTCCACGTGGTCTCTGATTTCAGGGAACTTTACAAAAAAAAGGAAGATAAAGTTCAATAAACAATTCTAAAAACCAGTATAATTTAGCAAGAATCCCGTCTCTGGCTTCCGCTTTGGATGTAGAAACCTAGTACGCATTACTGCCACCATCTCAAAAATAAAAGGCTGAGTAGTATCCCATTGTGTATGTATGCCACATCTTCTTTATCTCTGCCATAAAATGAAATACTGCCATTTGCAACAGCATGGATGGATCTTGAGATTATTATGCTAAGCGAAATAAATCAGAAAAAGTCAAGAACCATATGACTTCACTGATAGGTGGGAGATAAAACTGAAAACAACAAAAGAAAACAAATAAACAAAAACTCAGACACAGACAAGTTTAGTGGTTACCAAATGGTAAGGAGGGAGGGGTAAAAGGGGTCAAATATATAGTGGTGGAAGGAGAAATGACTCTGGGTGATGAACACACAATGTGATATATAGATGATGTATTACAGAATTGTACACTTGAAACCTATGTAATTTTACTATTGTCACTCCCAATAAATTTAATTTTAAAAAATACAAATAAATTTTTTTTAAGGCTGAGTAATTGACAAAAGCGTGCCTTTGTTGAACCCTTCAGAGAGCTCAAGTCATAGGCAACCAACTAGCCTAAAATCTAGGGGAAGTGAGGTGGACAGAAGCACCAGCTCACCTGTAGCACAGGATGAAGACAGCACCACCAGAAGGAGGATAAGATTTCAGCTACAATTCCTAACCAGTTGCTAAAGGCCAAGTGTGAGCTGGTGCGTGGGTAGAGAATCGGAGCCTCAGACACAAGGAGAGTGCTCATCTGCTCGCAGGCTCTTCTTAGACCACCACCAGGCGCACTCATGAGGAAGACTGGGGGTAGGGCCAGAGCGGGGAGAATGCCTCCCTCCTTGGCCAGATCCACAAGTTCATCAGGTACACGCTCTATCTTCCAGGTTACCACGGACATTTTGTCAACGGTTTCCCTACGATGTAGCCTTTTTCTAACCTCTAGTAACAGTTTCTTCACCATTTCCAGCTGCTAAGTTTCTTTGCCCCTTTTTAGCTGCTTTCTTGCTGCCAAGTTCCAAAGTCAATGCCACATTATAAGTTTTTGTTACAGCATCCTCTTTCTGATACCAGATAACTTCTGTGTCAGTTGTCTATTCCTGCATAACCACCTCATGTGCTCACAATTATGGGAGTCAGCAATTTGAGCTGCAATCAGCTGGGCAGTTCTGATGGCCTCACCTAGGGTAACTCGTGCAACTTCAGTCACCTGGTCACCATCAGCAAGGCCCTCTCTCCATGCAGAGGCTGACCCAGGCCTCTTCACACTTTGCTCTCAAGAGTCTAACCACAGCTAAAAGAGGGCAAACCCCAACATGTGTTTTTCAAGCCTCTGCTTCCATCATGTTTGATAATGCTGCATTGACCAAAAAAGTCATGTGATCAAGCTCATCTTCAAGGGGTAGAGAAATAAATCCCACCTTATGATAAGAGCAGAAAAGTCACATCGAAAAGGGATGTCCACAGAGGAATGAGAGAAATTGTGGCAACCATCTACCACGTCATTATTCACCAAAAATGCAAATGAGAGCACAAGAAACCACTTACCCACTAAGGAAACTAAAATTAAATTGACAGTAGCATGTGTTGTCAAGGATGTATAGCAAATGAAACTTTCATTCATTGATGACAGAAGTATAAATTGTTTCAACTACTTTGGAAAACTGTTTGGCAATATTTACTAAAGCTAAAGATACGCCTCCTGGATGACCCAGCAGTTCCACACCTAGGTTTATTCCCAAGAGAAATGAGAACATATGTCCACAGTAAGACTTGCACAAGAATAGTCATAGCAGCTTCATTCATAACAGCCAAACCTGGAAAGAACCCAAATGTCCATAAACAGAATAGATTTTTTAAATTCTGGTATATTCAGATGATGGACTATTACACAGCAATTTTTTAAAAGAATAAACTATTGATAATACAACAAAGATAAATGTCATGGACACTGTATTAAGTGAAAAAAAAAACAGACACAAGAGGGCCTAGTGTGTGGTTTCATTTCTATGAGCAGGAAAAACAAATCCATGGTGATGGAAGTCAGAATACTGATTACCTCTAGGAATGGGGCTCATTGAGTGAGGTAGGGCCCAAGGGAACATTCTGTGAAAAAAAAATTTTATATTTTGATGTAGGTAGTAGAGACATACATAAAATCCATCAAGGTGTGCATTAAGATTTATGAACTGTTACATACATTATACCTCAGCGAAAAGATTTTTAAAACACAAAAACAGAACCCTGTGAGAACAGGTAAAAACCAGTAAGAAGTGCATCTTTTTTGTGTAACAAGATCTCCATAAATAAACAGTCCAGGGCTGGTGCAGACACACAAAGACACAAACTAGGGAACCAGCACAGTTGTGACTTCTGGCCACACTCTCTGTAGCCTGTGGCTTTTACTCTCATGGTCACAGGATGGCTCCTTGTGTCTGCCTGCACAAACGGCAAGTAGAAGTTCTCGCTAAATGAAACCACTTCTTTTCCAACATCGTTCCCAGGAGTCACATCCAAAAACTTCTCACACTGACCAGAACTGGGGAACATGGCCTCCCCTAACTGCAAGGACTAGGAGATGGAGGTTTTTTAATAGTGTACATTACCACTCTGAACAAAGCCCCTAGATTCTATTGTAAGGAAGAAGGTGCGGTTTTGGTAGGTAACTCGCAGGATGCACCATACTAGACCTAAAAGAAAATCTCAAAAGCAAATACCTAAGACTCAATGGTAAATGACCACATACTCTGCTCGCAGTGTAATTAAATTAGAAACTAGCAACAAAAAGGCAAATAAAAAAAACACCCAGATACATGCAGGAACTTTCCAGAATGACAGAAATGTTCTATAACTTGAGTGGGGTGTTTGTTGCGTATATGTATACATCTGTCGAACTCATCCAACTTGTACGATTTATGTATTCCACTGTAAGTAATTATACCTCTACAAAAACGTAACCATATACAGTTATTTAAAACTATACTTCCAAATAAGTCATGTCAACGATTTAGTGATAATGGAAACTAAGACGACAGGCTCAAACAAAAATGAAATTACATTAAAATATGTGATGTAGCTAAACGAGCACTATGAGAGAAAATTATAGGCCCAAATGTTTGTATCTTTCCAAATTGAAAGTTAATTAGTGAGGGGCCCACCATACGAATGGGACACTGATAACGGCAGGCCACCATTGCTAATGTTCTCTGTCCTGGCGTGACTCCTCTTGTGCACAGTCAGTGAAGAGCTGTGTCTGAAGGCTTTCTCACACTGATTACATTCATAGGGTTTCCCTGCACTGTGGGTTCTCACATGTACGATGAGGTGTGAAGACTGACCGAAGGCTCGCCCGCATTCCTGACATGCGTAGGGCTTCTTGCCAGTGTGGGTCCTCGCATGTTTTCTAAGGGATGAGGGCTCACTAAAGGCTCGCCCGCATTCTTGGCACGCAAAGGGCTTCTCTCCCGTGTGGGTTCGCATGTGACTCTTGAGGGTTGAGAGACGGCTCAACACTTGACCACAAGTCGTGCACTCATAAAGTTTCTCCCCTGTGTGGATCCTTTTGTGCACGTTCAGGTGGGTGCTCGTCCGGAAGGGCTTCCCACACTGGTTACATTCATACGGTTTCTCTCTGGTGTGAGTTCGCAGGTGGGTCTTCAGCGACGAGTGCTCCCGGAAGGCTTTCCCGCACTGACTGCACTCAAAGGGCTTCTCGCCGGTGTGAGTTCTCACATGGCTCCTCAGAGAGGATGGCTGGTTAAAAGCCTTCCCACAGTCCTTACATTCGTAGGGCTTCTCGCCTGTGTGGTTTCTCTGGTGCAAAATCAGGTTAAAGTTCCTCGTGAAGGTTTTCCCACACTGATGACATTCAAAGGGTTTCTCTCCCGTGTGAGTTCTCATGTGGCGCCGCAGGTTCGAGGAGTACTTGAAGGC